TCTCCTTGAAGTCATGCATGTTAACTGGAAAGAAATTAAAAAGGTGTCTATCGAGGCTTCCCAAGGGCTATTTAAATATTAAGTGCCACGTTAAACTGAAAAGAAACACCTCAGCAATGGAACTGATGCAACAGGAAAAAGCCCTGGTTTTTTTCATTGATCGAAGAGAATATGATGTCTAAAAAACTAAGAATAACCTTTGTGTTAAAACCACAGAAAGTCAGTGACTTTCTGATAAGGATATCACAGGTGCTGGCCTCTAAGAAACAGCCAGCGCCTTTGGTAGATGGTGTGAGTTTTTTTACACCAGCACTTATCCTACCTCATTATCTCTTCCCTTTATATGAGCCCAAATGGAGAGAAGGAAGATGCAAAAAGATTGCTCTCCTTGCTATCACTCACACAAGGGCCAGGAATAAATGGAGCTCTTAAGATTATTCATTCTTGAGACTGTACAGAGCACAGATAAAATGGCAAAGAGTGCAATACCTGTATCATCAGCTGATTGACAGCTAGCTCTGTGTTTAGTAAAAGAGAATTCTCCAGGGAGAAATGGAGCTTTTCTAAGTTACAGTCATTGATGACTGTAATACTCTAATCAGTTATTCCCAGATGGGTTAGCAGGTAGAGCGCAAAAAAAGCTGTGAAATACGCACAGTGAGAGTAACTCGTCAGGTACATACTGCTATGTGTAGCAGACACGTAGTAAATACTGCATCCTTGTTATGCATGAACAAATACGTATGAACAGATTTGGGCTTCCTAAATTTACAACCCAGCTAGGACTACAAGCCTAAAAATGGAAATTGGGTTGTAACTAGAGATGTTGGATCACAAGCAAATAGCTGCAAAAGCAAAAAGACAAAGGCAAAATGTTAAGCTGATTGGAATTTCACAAGATTGACATTGTTGCTTAAAGTGCTTCGGTTGATTACCTTTTAAAAAATCTAAGTACATAAAAATTAAACCTGAAAACTAATAATATTAAGTACATAAATTATTATACAAATACAATATCAGATCAACAAAAGTGAAATAAATTAAAACAAACGCTGATACAAGGTACTAGCAAAGAACAGGTACACAGCCAAAACTTCTTAAAATTTCTAGTACACGTTCAGCTGTAAGATACTGCTCACACTTGTCAGCCACAAGCAGCAAAAAAAGATATGAAACAAGAGGGGTCTGCTGCTGAGAGGCATCAAATCTCTGGCAGCTGCAAGTCGTCGGCTCAGGTCCCAAGTACATGATGCTGTAACAGATGGGTGAATGAAATGTAATGTCTGAAGATAGAAGACAGGTTGTGGCAGTGCTTTAGGACACACCACATAATATGAATTTCAGTTTCAGCTTAGTTAGTTCTTTAATACCTTTATCAAATCTAATGCAAAGGAAATACCTACTGCTTTATTTTCTTTGCTCCAACTGCTAAAGGAACAAGACTTTTAAGGTGTAATCTACTGCTCTGAGGTAACTGTAAATTATTAAAATAAAATGGACAGGAGTAATTTTGGGACTTAATTTCAACAAGGTGTTCTGCTTCACTGGTATGGTTTCTCCATCACTCCCCTCTTCTGCCTCCCTCTGCTATGGCCCAAAAATAGAAATTACATAAAATCTTGACAGCCTGTTCTATGAAACATAAAAGTTGAGGTCTGAGCTCATCCTCTAAGATAACTGATTCATCAGCACTGCAGTGCTTCATTGGGTTCAGTGGAAAAACAGCACAGGACAAAAATGTTCTTTTTTCTAAGTAAGAGCATAGTAATAAGATCGGACAACACATCTCAGCAACAGCGTGTGAAACAACCAGAAAACTTCAGATGTCTTTAGACCTAATATACTCAGAACCCAACACCATAAAAATAGTCACTTTAGGGAAGCACAGAATACTATTAGACATCTGTGCTACAATTTTGTTTTCTAGCTGCTGGCTGAAAAGCTTTTATTGTCCTAGATATTTTTCCATTCTTTCATAAGGGACTGAAAATCTATACATAAGCATAAGAGAAAAAGGATTATGTTTTATTTAATCAACTAAAATACTCTACATCATACGATTGTTCCTGTGAGGATCCCAATCCCGCAAAACCCGTGCAAATGCACTTAATTTGACATAGAAGTTCTGCTGCGTAGACTGGCACTATTCTTACCGCCATGATGGGACAGCTTTTGCTGGACTGAAGTCAAGACATTCAGCACACCGTAGACTGGATATAATTTACAGAATTGTGACTGCAATTTATTTTATAATTCTCCCTAGTTTAGCTGGTGTTAGCATAAAGTGAGTATCCCACAACTTTTCAGAGTTGATGTCAGACCAGTGATATCTGGTGTGATACCAGTGCTGTGATCTTTTCAGGGGCTAGCATGAATTTAAAATGTTTTTTCATACTTTATGAAAAGGCTTATTCTAGCAATTTTACTCTCAATAACGTACTGCAATTATCAGTTTGTTTTACAACCTAGAGCTATCTTGCAGTTGGAGAAAACCAGAGATTATTATTCTGTACTTTAGCACTTAAATATTAATTCATATTATTAACATTTTTTAAAAAATCAATTTTCAGATAAGTCAATTGAAATATGGAAAACATTTCCTAAAATTGAATTGATTTTAAAAATATTTTAATGAAAAATTACTTTTCATATAAAAATGAACGCTAAACATTCAAATGATACCTGAAGAATATCTTTTTTGTTGCTTGTTTTAAAATGAAGAATGCCCTAGTAATGTTCAGCAGTAAACTGTGAAGTATAGACCTTTGGACCAGCACTGGTTAATGCTGATCTAGAAAGTGCCTTCATTCACAATGAGGAAACCTTACCCATTTTAAAAGGCAAGTGATTACTACATTTTTATATGGAAATTCTGAATGTTTATAAATAAATCCATTAAGGAGGGATTTGCAGGTTTCAGTGGAAAAGCTCCTGGGCCTCAGTGAGAGTTGAAGTCTTCTGTAAGATATCTGTCTTCTGTGTTAGAGACAGAACATTTCATTCTAACACCAATAAAAGAACTAGAGCTGCATCCCAATTATGCTTATCTAGAGCCTGCATACCAGCCTTCATTCATGTGAGTGATCTCTCTGGACCACTCCTATTATTCATCTAAGTAAGTACTCTAAGGTTACTAGAGCTGCATCCCAATTATGCTTATCTAGAGCCTGCATACCAGCCTTCATTCATGTGAGTGATCTCTCTTGGACCACTCCTATTATTCATCTAAGTAAGGTTACATTCTATGTCTGTTTTCTTGTATCGGTATAATAACATGATAAATCACAAATAATGTTAGATGAAAAGTCCACTTCTGTTTCTTGTTCTGTATAAAGTGCAACATTTCCTTAGTTTACAAAATGGCCATTGATAAATCCAGCTGAACTTCAATTGATGTGACAGTAGAAGCTAATACTTCATTTTCACCATGATGTAACAAAAGATATTTCATATTCACAGTAGATCACAATGAAAAAAAGTTATTCTCCTTCCTACAGAAGACCAAAATATAAGATTTAGCTGCACTTCAAAAGCCATTTCTTGAAATAGAGGGTTGACCATAAAGTGGAAGGCAGGCTTCTTAAAAGAACGATCAAAAGCAACATTATCTAATAAATACTTAACAAGAGTAAATGAAATATAACAGGTAGAAATAAGTTTTATGAGATGAGTATATCTTTATAAATACTAGAACCAACTGTCAGTCCCCCTGAAGAAGACACGCCTGTTTTTGCTGTTGACTCCATTGGAACAGGAATTTGGCTACTGAAGTTCAAGAATTGTATAATGGAGTGTCAACCCAAGCATGGTAGTTACCCAGTGTTACCACTGCCTCAACCTGCTATCCATCCCTTCTCTTACGCTATTGATACTTTCTTCTACATTCATTCTTTGCCAAATTCCAGTATATGAGTTCAGCAATTTTATTAGCCAGGGCATGACTAGTGCCAGCCAAATTCACCCAGTAAAATCACAAACTAACTAAGCCTTTTGATGTTTTAAAAATAAGACACTCTAGAGCCCTATCTGTTTCTGTGGTCATCCAAATGCTGTCAAACATGGCCAAAATGTTAGAGATGATATATACATGACAGTGTGTGTAAACTAATGGTTGTTATGTATTACGCTATGTTGCTAAGAAATGGACTCTGTCTTGAGAAATGAAAATGGGACCTAAAGATATTCAGAAAATTGCAGGATCAAGCTGTGTCTTATGTATCGTACAAACAACACTTACTTCAATGGACTGTGTAATTTCAGGCCTGATGGATATGTTATACATGAGCAGTGTTGCAATTTCTGCAAACTCAATTAAGTAAACAACCTATAATATCATTTTAACAGAAAGATAAGCTCAATCTCTATAAATGTAATTTATCTCTGTGTCATACGTGTCATCTCACTCCCTTTATTCCAGTGCTCTGCAAGTTCTGAAATCTCACCTCATCTGTACTATCTCATGATAAACAAAGTAACTGGACATACAGAATTACTTAGTTCCACTGTAATTTAAATCCCTCTATGTGAATTTTAGGCCTGAGGTTATGCACTGAAAGTTTTTTAACAACCCAAAGCTTAAATGATTTTGGAAGAATATCTTTTTTTTTTGCAGCAGAGAGTAACATGTAAAAAAAAATCCCCTATACAAACACAATTCTAATCATCACAAAACAGATTTTTTTTTTCCCTAACCTTAAAATGGGTAAGTATAGGTCAGGATGTTTTTAAAGGAATGCTTTGTAAATCAACATACCCCAAAGCTATTTAGAAAGTTTTAAACAATTTTGTCCTAAATGCAATGAACACTTCCATATAAAATACTACTCTAGCTGGATTGGGTTTAACAGTTGACATCCAAATCTTATTATCTGTAAATGTTAGTCCATATAAATTCCACTAAAATCTGACTGCAATTAACTCTTCAATCAGACTTAAAAACTACAAACAACCCCCCCCTCCCCAAAACAAAGTTCTGCATGTCAAAAATGGACAGTTATAGCCAATATCACATAGACCATTTAATAGGAGACAGAGTGTATCATTGTTCAACCATACAAGATGTGGTCTGTGTAAAAGTCAGTTAAGGGGGGCCATCACCTTCTTTTGTGCGCAGCATCGTTGTGTGCAATTGTCACAGTTTGCAAAGTCACTCTCTTGACTGATAGAATAAAATATAGCCAGACTCTGAATTTTTTGATATATCAGAGGTCAGACCATAGAATTCTTCAATAGCTTGAGCATCTATTTTCTGCAAAGTAAATAAAAAATTTTAATGTGCTATTAGGTAAAAGAAATACCAAACATGCATGAAATGACAGTATAAACGCAAAAGACAAATTCAGCTATTTTTTTCAGGGTAGCAATTAGCAAATTCTGTTTGCAATTTAAGCAGTGAAAGGGTAATGTTCAGGGACTATAAGCCCTACTGGTCTCACTCATGGAAGTCAATAGGAATGTTTGTCACAGTGAACCTAACTGAATTAAGTTTTTTCCAGTAACAGAGAGACTCCTTGGAATGCAATAGTGAACACTTAAAACACATAAATGTGACCATGTGACCCCAGCTTCTGAGATTTCCAGAAACCGTCTTCAAGACATGCCCTGTCCAATGTCCCAGTGCTTACTTTCCTCCATTGGATTTACTCCTGGGAAATCCAACTCAAGACCTCAGCTTTGCCTAGGTGCCGCAATGACATGAAGGGTTTGCTTAGGAATGAATTGCAGAGTGCTTGGACAGAATCTGTAATAGCTGCAGGTCAGATCCTGCTCTAATTTACATTCAGACAAACCCAGATTGACTACAGAATCCAGACTTTCTTGTAACTTCCCAGTTGTTCCAAAATCAAAATTTTACAGCAATGTTAGCTTTACTCAGTCCAATTTTGCCAGTGATATCGCCAAGGATTGCAACATAGTTCCTGGGTATTTTAAGTTTTAATGAATTAAATTGATTTTATTAGATATAGAAAACATTCCAAATTAAACCCTTGAAGTCTGATATTAAAAATATTCATGTTGCTCTGAAATAAAACAACCTCCTCCAACATTGACAGAGAAAGAACTACAGGAAGAAGAACTACAAATTTTGTTTGCAATCTTACTTCCTAACAGAGTTGAGCTAAATGTCACATTACAACCAAACTGTGGCTTTGCAGACTAGTAATCAGACTAGATCCCAGATCTGGATCAGAATTTTAACCCCAAATACAGAAGAGAACATAAACACAAAAGTTATGCTCATGACCCTCAGCATACTGACCTCTACAATGTCGTCATCAAACAAGAGCCAAAATCCATGACTTTTCACAATAGTAATATAATGCCCCCGATTCGGTCCACTAGAAAGCAAAACAAACCCACAACCCCCAAAATATTAGAAGCTACTATTAAGTCCATTTTGATAAGTCACATTTCTACATGCAAGCAGACTGAATTATAACTGTTATGAAGAACATAGTAAACCCATCCCTGGTGGTACAGTAGACATTTATTCCTTTCACCTTTTTATTCATTTGGTGCAAAGACTTCATCAACTGAAAGCTAAATGTGTTGTTTTCATCTGTGCCATGGCCATTTGCAAATTAACCTATAGAACACTTAACAAATTGTTCATGGCAGGCATCGACTACTGAAAATATTTTAAAAACATTATGAACTAAATTTAAGGGGGAAAATTGTTTGGTATCAACTGTGAATACTTAGTTACATACAGTCTTTGAGAAGAGAGAGAACAAGTTGTATTCCTAGACCCCCAAGAATTTTTCTGTTTGTTTCATATTTGACAATATGCCATATGTAAGTTTTATTAAAGCTAACATTTTCACTGCCTTGACAGACGATCAAGGTGATCTGTTGTAGGGCCTACGTGCTAGCAGCATCTGGCCCTCACAGAGTCCTGGCTCCCAAGCTCTCTAAGTGGGCTGATGAGGAAGGAGACAGCTCCATTAATTTAAGCCAATCTTGTGACATTTGGAGGCCCGAGAAATTATTTTTTAAACAAGAACCGATTTACTAAGAAGGAGAGTGGCTAAGAGGTTCAGGCCAAGACACAGGCAAGTTGGTGCAGCAGCAGGGTTTATGTCCTCCCTCCCACTCTCCCCACATTTTGTCAGGCATGCCTCTGCCCTTGGCAATTACATGAAAGTATCTTACCTTCCACAGTGAACAACAACAGCTACCAAATCGTACATCCGATCTAAGTTGACAGCATCACCGGATGTGTTGAAGAGACGTAACTCCAGAGGAAATACTACACGGTAAGATAGCTTAGTATACCTGTGCAATTGCTCCATATACTTGAATCTCTTGAGGTGTAAGGCAAGAATCATTGGCAGTTTTTTTACTCTCATCCTGTGAAACCATTAAAGCGCATATGATAAAGACCTGACCAGTTCAAAGTCATTCTGTCTTTCCTTAATGAGTAAACGTTTGCATTATCAAAGCACTTTATAAGTAACAGTAGTCAACTAGCAGTAGCTTCTAGACTAAGACACATGTAATACTTTTGAATATGTCTGTAGGTTCTCTGACCCACACAGAGAATGCAGGTGGGGTGTAAGGCTTCTAGTTATCTAAACACAATAAATATCAAGGAGAAGGTTTGTCAAAGCCCATGGTGACATAGCATGACATGGTGACATAGTGAAATAGCGTGCTCTTCACTTACCTTTTCTGTGCCTCTTGTTTACTGCAGCAAGTTTCACAGTAGTATTTCTGTTCACTACATAATGTCTCTGTGTTACTGAAGTCTCTGTAAATAAATAGAATTATCAGTTTTTAAATGATCTTAACATTTTTGCCCCACTTGGGCTGATGAACTGGAACCCTAGAAAGACACACAGAATGAAATCCTCTTTCCACTGAGTTCAGTTTTCTAAAACATCTAAAGCAACTGTACTGGGGTTTGCAAAGGTTTCTGGCTGCTATAACAGCCCTGTATTAGGAGCTGAGGCCCTCCATATACCACAGGTAGAGGGTCACGTATCTCAAAATGGGACTTATATCCTGGTCTCTTACATGTCAAGGGGCTGCTGAGACTTGAGTGTAGTCGCTCAATGCATCAAGTCCCTTTTTAAATTATTTGCAGAATGGAACAGCTTCAAGTGCACTTCTGTCATCCCCAAATAGCTCGCATTTTATGGTTTTCTTCTATAAGATAAGCTTGAATCCTCTTTCACAGGAGAAATAAATTGAACTCAGTTTTCTGCATCCTCTAACCTCTTGAGCTGGCACCCAGAAGTTATTTGATTATACCTTCTTGTTGTCTAAAAAAGGAAAATGTCCACTAGTATAGAAGATTTTGTAAATCCTGATCAAGTAAATACGCTTGGAAATGTTTCCGGATTGAGCTTTTGAAGTGAGAGAGGCAGAGGAAGGCTTGTTTTATAGTGTCTCTCAGTTCACAGAAAAGATTTGTCAGAAGTCACAGAGCTGAGATACTTTGGAGCAGAATTTTAGGTACCTAAAAAACCCCCACTTAACTGTAAAAAAAATGACAGTAATTTTTTGTCACCTTTAGTGTTACACTGCAGCCGAGCAGGTGTTTCAAGAACTGTAAAGGCAGACATAAGCACCCATCTCCCACTTTAAGCACACAGGTCTTCTTGTGACTTTGGGCCTTAAATAGATATATCTGAAGTACAGAAGTGTCCTGTTGATTGCACCTACATTGTACCTAACAGACTTCTGAACTCCAGACAAATTCAGACCCAATAAACTCCATTCTACCATTGCAGTTCACATGCACAGAGGCTGAAGCCGCACTGGCTGCAAGTTCGGCCTGCCCTCACAGTAGGAGCACCAGAATAATCTTAGAAAGGCAAAGGGAGGATTCTGGATGATTATTTCTTCCTGGCATCATCACCACAAGGGTAGACAGGAGAGCTGAAGACTATAGGGATTGCGAAGGCATAGGTATTAGAAGTTATTTACATTGACTTCATAAAAGGGGAGGACTTTCCATTTTCAAGCTTTAAGTTCTTTAAGGTTGACAGAGCATGACAGAGAGGCACTTCATATGACTGAATAATATTGATTCTAACTGAGAATGCTTTTACTAGGCTTTTTTCTTTATATGGTCTTAAACAATTTGATCAGAAAAGTGCCGAAATTTAGGACAAAATACAACTCTTGAAAGATAAATTGCAACAAAACTTTGATCGTAAGCAAAATTTTGTTATCTAAAAGAAAAATAAAGTATGATCACTGGAAAGGATTTGCTTCAGTGGTAAACACTGATCTTGAATATCTGATTTCACACTTGAATTTAAAGACAAAATTAACTGAATTCAGCCAATTCCTCTGAAAAACATGGTAACCTTTCAGAAGTGAAGAAATGAAACTTTTAGAAAAGATTAGAGATGGATTATATGTGTGGGGAACATAATGCTGCAAGATTCAGTAGAATGTGCTTGTGTAACTTTTAGGTCTTCGGTTCAGGAAAGAGTCTGATGTTTACTGTCAAAGCCTAAAGTCTCAATTAAAACTCACCAAAACTCAACAAAAAACAACAAACCAAAAACTTGTGGAATTTATGCGTTTCCTTCCCACCTCAAAGTGAAGCAATGGAAATAATATTTTTCTAACATAAACAAACATGTACAGGTGCTATGATAGATACTGGTTTTTTCTATGCCAAGCCTCCCATGAATATGAACTAAACTCAAAGAGTTTCTGAATTCCTTTTAAAATGTATTAATTATTCTGAAACCAATAATATCTAACATTTTAAATGATAAGTTGACTACTATGGGAATTACATGTATGAAAGCCAGAGAAATATGCAAATACTTGATAAGCTGATGGACATTCCCTTACATGTCACTTGGCATTTGTTCTTTTGTTTCTTTGTCTTCTACTTCCACCTGACAGGCTGGTACCCTGTTCTACCGAAGGAGATGAGGCACAGTCATGGAATTTAGAGGCACTACTAATTCACTTATTCAGCACATATTAGTTCCTTTTTCTGTACCAGGAACAAAACTAGTGGCATATTTATAAGCAATAACTCTTTTCTTGGGGGAAAAGAAGTATGCAGGTGAGAATTAGATGCTTTCGCTGCCCCTTACAACTGCAACTTCAGTAGCTGTTCCATCAATCGAGAATTTTCAGTGTGGTACTTCTAATAGATGTTGAACAGTTAAAAACAACAGATCATTGACTGGAGTTCATGCAAAGTCTGCATGCAGGCAGACTATAGGCCTATAGGCTTGAGGAACTTTTTTCTATACCTACAGAGCTTGTTTCAAGATATTTCTAAGTCTTTCCTATTCCATTAGCAGGCCAATCTGCATTCTGTTTATATGGTATTTTAATAGGAGAAAGGAATTTTTAAATACACCTGCTCAAGATATACTATACCTCCTGTGCTTCCACAGTCCATCTCTCTACAGCCTCTATGCTACAGTGTGAAAGATGCTTTCTATTGCTTATATGCACAAATAATACAGATTTTCTGTTTTAAGAGAGGAGAGAATTCTTAGTGGAATAAAAAAAGCACAGGCAGACTAGTTAAAAGTCAGGATCAAATGCACCGGTAAACCTTGCAACTCCTAGTGGAAATAAAAATAATGGATACGTACTATATTTGTTATTAGACTTCTATTGCTTCAGGCCCTATTGTCTACCCTGTGGACTTAGACTATGCCAGAGGCTTGTACTCTTTGGACCTCTTATGTACACAAGGACCTTTTCAATCTGAAAAGCTACAGAAATAACTAAAATGAGCATTCATCTGTAGCGGCAAAAAATTCATTCTACTTAAATGTTATCTTGCGTAGTTTTTCTTTAATTTACCTTTTCAACGTAGTAGCACTTAAACCTGTAAACACATAGCAAAGCAGTTGTTTAAAAAAAGGAAACACCAAAGTTTCCAAAAAGAGTAATAACTTGGCCGCTCCTATTAACAGAAACCACAAAAGCACTTATACTTCATTTAATAATGCATAATACCATGGAGCAAAGAGAGGAAATCCATATTCTAACTGAATATGTTTTCTAAACAGAGATAGACATGCTGCTAGTGTAAAAGATGATCAGAATAGATGATAGGTGATGACTCTCTTCCTGTTTAATGTGTAAATAGCAACCTGCACCTCCCACCCCAAGAAAAGAACAAACTGGGATTTTGCTTCCCTTTATTTCCAAAATGAACGATGGGTGGCCTTCAAAATGCATGTCATGATGTTGGAATAAAGGCACATGCTATATAATGGGATGTATAAACAAACTTTTAGGACATCCATTCTTCTCTGGATTGTGTAGATCTCTGCTGGAATACTGTGCCTAGTTTTAGGTAACTGCACTTCAAGAAAGATAAAGTTCAAGAGAGGTTCAATTGGAGAGAAGGCTGAAGAGTAATGAACAGGAGCAGAGATCTACAGAAGATAGCCTGTGAAGGAAAGGTTGAATGACCCTAGGCTGTTTACCTTAGAAAGTGATGGCATTCTTCCTGTATGTAAAAGACTGCTGCTAAGAGGAAGGGGAGCAATCCCTGGTTTATGTACACAATACACAGGGCAAATAGAAATGGGCTTGAACTGAAATAAGGAAGATCCATGTTACACAGCGGGAAAAACTTGTTAGTAGTAAGAACAGGAAGGACTGGGATAGGCAGTCGAGCTACTACTAATAAAAGATCTTTTGGAACAGGTTGGACAAGCATTCTGTCTGAGGTGGAGACAGGGACTAACCTCTCGGGGTCCCTCTCAACTCCACCATTCACCTGTTGGTTGCAATAGTGAAGTTCTTTCTAAGCTACAGCCACTGGCTGTTCAGTAGTAGAAATGCTATTGGTAATTTTACTGAAGTACTCAGTGCTTTTGCATAAAACAATCTTTCCAAACAAAACATTTCCATGAAGCTTAACAACTAAGAAAATAAATAAGAAATTGGAGAAAGCTGAAGGACAGATGGCAACTTTATGTACAGCAGCAGTTATGAACAGGTTCACCAGACTAAGCTGTAAGAAAAAGTCAGTGCTCAGTCTCCAGTAACTGTATATCATAGAACCAAATAACAACTCAGGTTAGAAAGGATCTCAGAAGATGTACACTTCAGCCTCCTTGCATGTCAGCATGATTTCAAATTGACTTTGAACACCATAGGGAAAGGTAAAGTAATGCTGACAAAACCAAGTTCAACATAGTGGCTACAGTGAAGAACTTAGAAATGTGCAAACAAAAGCCTGTAGTACCAGTAGTGATTCAATTATTGGTGACCATGAGCAGACAAAGAGACAATGGGAAAAAAGCGAAAATAATGTGCTCCTTTCCAAAGCCACTCTTCAGTTTGCTCACCTTTTAAAATGAGGTTACTTAATGCCGTGTGGACTACTTGAGGGCTAAGAACTGCTACAGTATCCTACAGAAGACTGAACAGAAGTTGAGAAGGAAAAATCTTACTGGATCTACCACTTTAAAGTGCAACAAAAGTTACCTAGTACAGTTGTGGTATGCACAGAGAAATCACTGCTTTCTGACTCAGGAAATGGTTAGGACTTCATATGCCTTCTCTTTTTGTAACTCAGCTTGGGGTGAGATGCCAGGCAACCCTTCCAAAGCATTCCAGAAAAACTACTAAATACAATTTCAAACTTGGTAGCAATTTTGGAGCCTGAAAGAGTAATTTGACCAATTGATAATCGTTACCTTAGAGCAGCAACATACTGTCTTAAATCTAGGTATCGGTTTATTGTAACAATGCCAAAACTCTGGATATTTTAAATCTCTCAGAACAGTCATCCATGCAAGTCTAAAAATTATTTTGATCTCTGAAGTATTTAATACTTAAGAGTGTACTAGGAGCAGAACTGAAACTTAGAATAAAAGACTTGTCCCCATAATTTTAGGATGAAACACAGAATAAGAAACTTTTACGGCAGAAAAGTAGACTTTTGAAATCTTTTGCCCTCTGGGGACTCTAGCACTCATTCTGCAAAGCATACACTTAACTTTTAATATGCATATAAGTCCTAATCAACAAAGCACTTGAATAGAAGCTTAAAGATAAGCACACTTAAATCCCTTTGAAGCCAATTATTATTCTGCAGCAATTCTTCCAGATGACGAGGCAATCAATTATTTTCCCCAAGAGATGATTTTTTTTCTCTTTCAAACACATATATTGAAAGAGAAAGCGCGTAAAACAAAATATGTGAATGTATACTTTGTCATTAGAGGAAACATCCTGTTTACTGTCTTTTTCTTCTGCTTAGGAAAATCTCAAAACCCAGTGTTATTCTACTTCTCTTTTCTGTACCTACTAGACTTGGAAAATTTAGCAAAGTCAGGACTATCTCCCAAAGAGATGCATTCATTTACCTTAGACAGTGTGTAATTGATGTGTTCTGCTCCACATCAACAGAAAGGTCAAGAAAATCTTCATCTTTGCTACTAACCTGTTGCAAAAAATGTACACGCGAAACAGAGACTTAGTGAAACGTTATACATCTAAGTGCTGTCTATATCTACATGCAAATGCTAAAGATAGAGCAATTTCTGCAGAATAAATTACACAAAACCCCCCCATTCCAATGTTTTACATTTTTTTTCTAGTTCAGCATGACTATATTTATTAGTAACCCTACCAATCCAGCTTTCACATAATTTAACTTCTGTCTGTTCCACTTATCCAAGCCCACCAACCATGGGCCAGTGACTGCAGTCTACTGTTCATTAGAGGGACCATCCCCCCCCTATATTAGCTGTGACTAGTGCATTACATATGTTCCCTTGTTATGCAACACAGCCTAGTTTCTTATTTTACTGGAATTTTATTTACCCTTTGTATAATATAGTACACTATATAATCACAGTTTATGCCCTATGTAATTATTTCCACTATTAAAGATGCAATGAAGATATTTACCAAATAAGCATCTGTCAAGAAATGTCATATTTAACCATGTTATGTTTTCTCTCCAGTGGGCATTCAAAAGGCTGGCTTGATATTTCTAGTTGATACAGCTGCATTTCCCCACTAAGTATTGTTCCTGGTCAATAATTTTGATTAAAAAATTAAAAGACTAAAGGTAAAAATGTCAAAGTGATAATATTTTGCAAAATTGTTTTGATTTTGCCAATTTTTTTTAGATGGAACAAGAGGAGAAAAATGCGAAGCTTTTATTTTAAAAAAGTAACCTCAAACATTTTCAGACTGACAGATCTTGATTTCTGCTTTGAAAATGATTTTTCACTTAGAGTGTTTAATCTTGAAGATGAAGTCATGTAAAAAATAAATAAATCATCCAACGGATAATTGTTGTAATACTTCAGCCGAGTCAAAAAGACTGCAGAATTACTGCACATAAGTTTAGTCATATTCATAACAACCAATTCTGTTTATAAAATGCTGCATGAAGACTCCCTATTTTGCCTCCTATCACTGCATTTCCTTAGAATAACTAAATCATATGATAGGATAGTGAAGTTAAAATCAAGAACTTCAGTGAGGGGTTGAATCCATTGATCTGACACAAGTTCCTCACGCTCAGATTTCTGCAATTCTGTGGTTGTAAAAGTTATATACTACTTTCAGCTCATCTTTGTGTTATGTCAGGGATCCTATAAACATGGTGAATGCAGCCCATATCAGTCCTGAATCCAGAGGAACCTTTAGTAGGATGAGTTTTGATATTATCAAAGATGTACAGAGGCAAAACGCGCACCCAATTAAAATGAAAAGCAGTTCGTCAAACAAAAATCCTCCCTGAGCTATGATTCGACCCACAGGGGACAGGAAACCACAAAACTGGCAGCAATCAACTGCAGTATAAACATACAGCTAGAATTCAAAAGATAGAGCAACAAAGCTTTAGAGAACATTGTGTCTCTACAGCTGGAACTAGAGTTCTGTCAGACACACTGCGTATCAAAAGAGGTTAAATACTTGGAAAAGTTTTTGGCAAGTATAGTGTTTCATCTGAACACCACAAAGAAGCTAGGAATTTTGATATTGATTTCAGCACATCAAATATTTACTGAAAGGGGAAGCTGAGTTAGTTGGAGCTAGAATAACACAGACCAAAACCAAAGGTAGTTGGAAAACCAGATTCAAACTGCACTCTTTGTAAGTGAGAATAAGAACTGCTGGAATCTGAATGATTCTTAACATACCGCATATGAATATTTCAGCAAAGGAACATCTTTTAATCCATTCTACTATTCCCCAAAGATTTCAAGATACAATAATACAAGAAAAACAAACTGGAAAAGTATCCTGAGTAGCATATAGTATTTCTGCATTCACAGGAAGCTACCGAGAAGCCCTCCTACAGTAGCAATACCTAGCGCTGATTTTTCCATAAAGCTTGGTCACTTTGAATTACAAATAGGGTAATGTGCAGTTTTGCTCTTACCCAAGGACATGCCTGACGTCAATACAGTTTGTCTGAGTAAACAATGGATATTCATTTAGAATTAGGCCACAACCATTTAAAGAAGCTTGTCAGTTAAAAAGAACTTCTACCCTTTCACTTATCTTAACTTGCCAGCATTACTTGGCTTTTTATAATTGAAATTGATTAAAGAACTAATTTTCAATCTCTCTCTCATGTTTTCACTCATACAAACTTGCTCCAAACTTGGTCCAACCTCTTTTTTTCATGTTGACTATCACTGTATCTCTTTTTCCACCCCTCTCTGACCCAAATCCCTGGAGAAGTCATGTTTTCTTGGAGTACAGAGCTATTCTTTATGATTAGAAATATCAGAATATGTTCTCTTACACATCTAGTAGGACCTGGGTAGCATTTATTTCACCTAACTTCAGCTGTCTAAAGTTAGCTATTTAACCTCAGCTTGCTGTCTGAAGATACTTTCCCTGGGCAGCTTCTCCCATCTTAATGCAGATAATCTAAAGTTGCAATTTCTTTAGAGGAAGTACTTGGTAGCAGTACTGGCCTGAGTTAAAAACACATTATTCTTAGGGCAGATCAGTTTGCTGGCCCAGTTCACAGCACTGCTGCACCAAAAATTGCAACAGCTCAGTAATGCTATGGAGCCAGGACAAGCCGTATGGAGCAGAACAATGCTAAAAACTCTCTGTTTCATGAAACAGCCTGGAGACAGATGGAGAGAGCTTCCTGCAGGAGCTCCTTTGCAATCTCCATCATCTACAGAAGGAGCTGAAAAAAACTAGTTTATCCTTGATGCCTACCTTTTACAAAGCAAAGGTTAGGTGAGGTTAATTCCAACCTTTTTGGAAAGTCACTGTTCTCCCCAAAACAGGTTTTTTTTCCTGTCTGTGTGTTACTCTTTCATATAGCAACCTCACAGACAGAAAGTGGGATTTTTTATTATTTCTTTTCCCTTTAAGTAGGAGCATGTGATTGAAAACCACAGAAATCAATAGACTTGCAATCAGGTTTCTTAACTGAAACTAATTTATACTCATACTGCAAACGTGAGACTTCAAACTGATGGCATCCTCTGGAAAGTATTAGGGAGATAAAAGAAAACACATGGTTTGTTAATAACAAACCTTCTGTATGCCACTCACATTCTTAGGATTGAATTAACACAAATTCATCTTAACACTTCACTTACTTATTCATGGAATGATGTGAATATCTTGTCTCAAAGTTACAGTAATAAGGAAGGGTATTGATTAACTAACAAGGATTTTATCTGTAGAGATATGTATTAGGACAGCAAAACTTGGCATAGGTTAGCCAAGTAATGCTTAGAAAAATAAATTTTTAGAAAAGAATATACTCACTTCAAGAAGTAAAGTCTACAGGAATATCCACAATTCTCAGATGTCTGAAAAGATTCATATATTTATATATATAAAATGTATCTATCTATTAATGGGCAACAATCAAAACAAATATCTATTCCCAATGCTTACGGTTTCACAGTTCAAACATCTAGTTTCGTTAGTCAGTGTTCCCTGAAAAATCTCATGCACCCAGGTGAGTTCTTGTTTATTGTTCTCTTCAGCTTCATTCATGTTGCCATTTTTCAGCTTCCCATTTTGCTTTTCCTGTTTCTTCTCCTCCTGCAAAATGTCTGCGATGGTGTTGAGCAGGTAGTTTAAAAACTCATGTGCATCCTGCTGCATGTAGTTGTCAAAGAGATCTGTGAAGAAGAGAGTCGAGATTTCTAAAGCTGAGTATATCCTTTCCTTCAAGAAAGCAAACTAAATTCATTATTTCTTTCCAAACAGCCCTTGCTTAGCAAACTATTTAGAATCATGCCAAAGAGGAGCAGTTTTGCAGTCATGCTGGCTTCAGTGAAGCTACTTTGGGGGAAGGCTTCATCTCACCTAACTTTAGCTGTCTGAAAGGTTATGCTCTTTGGAGTTTGTTGTGTAGGCTCCCACTACAGTCAGTGAAGAAAGAAAGATGGTGACTCATCCTAAATTAATTCCTTAGACTTGATACCTAATTTTGAGCAGCACTGACTCCCACCCATATATTCCAAATCCCTCAGACACTTAGGAACATCACAGAGTTTGGACAGGAAGACACATGGCTGAGGAAACTGAAGACATCAGATGCTGACACATATGTATTGTGTCTAGCTGGAGTGGAGTTACCTTTCCTCATAGCAGCCCATACAGTGCTGTGCTTTGTACGGGTGGCTAGAACTGTGCTGATAGCACACCAATGCTTTGGCTATTGCTGAGCAGTGCTCACAGAGCATCAAGGCTGTCTCTCCAACCCCTCCTCTGCCCCCCGCCAAAGGCTGGTAGGCTGTGGGTGGGCAAGAGGTTGAGAGGGGACATAGCTGGGACAGCTGACATGTTCAGCAATAAAAGCTAAGAGAAAGGAGGAGAGGGGGCACCTTCATTATTAGGACGTTTGTCTTCCGAAGCAACTCCTAGGCATACCAAGGCCCTGCCTCCCAGGGAGCGGCTGGAAATCGCCTGCTCATAGGAGGTAGAGAATAAATCTCCTTTGGTTTTGCTTTGCTTCCACATGCAGCCTTTGCTTTTTTTTTTTTTTTTTAATTAAAATGCCTTTATCTCAATGCATAAATTTTTTTCATCTTATTTTCTCACCCTGTCCTGCTGAGGAGGGGAGTGAGAGACAGGCTTGGTGGGCCCCTGACAGCCAGCCAAGGTTAACCCACCACAAACAGTAATAACACCATCTCACAAAGCTCATTTTTCACACACAAGTCTGATGAGCAGAGACTTGTCCTCTTCAATAAGAAATCCTTGCAGGGGGAGGGGAGAATATCTCAGTGGTGATTTAGTACAGACTTCTCCAGTGAACACTTAATTTGCCCACCATGTTGAAGAAAAAAGAATCTATGTTCCCAAGAAATGTGTATTTTTATCCCCCTGCTCCTGAAAAAGATTTCCTCAGCAAATATTGTACAGATTCTTCGGCTTTGCAGTGTCTAGCCTGGACGCATAAGCTGGTTAATACACACTGAGTCTGGCCTTAATTTTAAAAAGCTGAAAACATAAGATCCAGTCCCTAAAAGTGATCCCCAACAGTGTGGGGGCATTTATCTCTAGATGACTCAGAGCTAACTTTCAAATGCCTGCTCTGGAATGAACAGTCTCCCCATTTATATGCTGTCACCAGGAAGCAATTTCTTCCAGGTGTTTGACTCGTACTTTGTCTCTTCATTCAAAGCTCCCCTGTTTCTAAGCATACCACCCACACTGACATGAATCCGGGCCAAAATGGAGCTGTGTGGCAGGCTTCCTTATTTCAAGATGTTCCTCATATCCCTTAGACAGAACTACTGTAAGGTTAGGCATATGCTGTTGCCAACCTAATGCTCACAAAGGGCCTGGTGCTGCACAAAGTAAGACTGTGCCCACCCTTTCTAAGAACAAGAGCAGCAGTTAACGTGTAGTCAACTGAACACCCCCATATACATGCAGTTACCTGTCTTCCAGGGTGTTTGGGACTAGTGGTGCCTGTAGCACTCCTAGGTCACACGGTTTCTATACTGCCAACTGCCCTCAAGGTTTCTCTCTGCCACACTCCACAAAAAATAATTAAAAAATTACAGCAGAGTGTCATCCTACTGATAGCCCTTGCTCGCGGTACAGTGCGATCTGTCCCACCATGCTGTGAAAACAACACTAATTCATGCACCTCTGGGAACTTATGAAACCTGGTATGGTTATTTCAAGCATAATATCATGTACACAGATACTAAAATATTAATATCTAAACCCCAAAAAGTACTACAAGCAACTTACAAATTTAACCTGAACAACCTGCTTATATGACCACATTGCCCAATATTTATTTATACTTTCCTGATCGATGTATGAATGTCTAAGAGGATTCCAGTTGTACACTTACCATTCTCTTTTCGTAACCTTGATATGAACTTCTTTGGTGGAATAACTCCAACTTTCTTCTTCTGAGTAGCAATACTGTGGAAAAGATCTGCCAGGCAAGTCAAGAGATTTTCCTTCTTTTTCTGTTGGGCCTTGTATGATAATACATTTTCCCGAAACGGCCGGCAAAAATACAATGCCTGCAGCACGGAGTTACAGTAGCAGGTGTTCCCAAACTGCCATGTAAAATTAAAAACAGTCTTAATCCCTGTGCTTCACAATAAACCCAGTTGCTTCATTCAACTTCTGGCTTCTGTGCCCCTGTCACATACCAGCCATTTTGCCATGCAGCTGCTGTAGGTATATATTTCCACACCCACCCCTGACACTTCACAGAAAAAAAAAACTATGGTGTTCTAAATTAACTAGGATACAAAGTAAAAGTTTCCCCTTGGAAGAGATGTATTTATTGTAGTGGATCTCATTAAGCTTTTTTCCATATATTAATATACTCTTGCTGGGCTCTATCTTGCTGCTCAGTAGCAGAATGACTAATGTTTTTAATGGAAAGAATTACTTTATTTTATTTATATGGGAATAAACAAGTGATTAAACACCCTTCTCACTCCTTCTCTCCTTAGTCAGATAAAAAAGCTCCTCCTAAGAGAGTCCTCGATGCAGACTGCTGTACCCAAGCTTGTGCATACTTCCATCACTTCCTCCCTCATGTTTCATAGCTAAAATTTTAACTTTATTGAAATGTAAGTTCTAATCCCTGGAAACATTCATAGAACAGTAAACTGTTTTCTCTGGGGGCGTATGAAGCTATCTTCAAACATCTGATACAGTTTTGCAACCCACTTTGCCTAAAACTGGAACATGAGCAGCACTTAAAAAAAAAAAAAAAAAAAAAGACAATCCTACCTTAGAACAGGATTGGGGGCGGGGTGGGGGGGGAAGAAGAAACCAAAGTTCGAGTAACATCAGAGCCATAGTTCTGTATATGGTTTGCCTACTGAAAATGGTACTTACATTGACCAATCCAAAGTAGTGTTCATTGATTGGAAACTGCTCTGGGCCAATGTCTTTTTCCAGAGCAGAGGCATTGGTGCCCTACAAAAAAAGGGAGAAGAAATTATTTAGGATACTAAGATTCTAAAATAAAGTTATGGACAGCATCAAGATAGAAACTCATTTTTTCCTTTCAGCCAAACTAACTCTGTCTTACTAATAGGCAGTCACATGAGCCAATAAAAATATTTGGAGTTCTAGATAGTGGAGCTGGCCTGACCTGGGATACTCTGGCAATGTCTGATTAGATGTGCACAGGTCACAACCACAGTGGTTCTCCCCACACCCACCTCCCCCTTATTTTTTACTGTGTATGTGAATAGCTGGATCCCATTACCCTCCTGCCTCATAAAGATACTTGTTGAGCTTAAGCAAAACACTTAAAGTTATCTTGGATAAACCAGTTCCTAGATGTAAGGCAGGTTGTCTAAGCATTATCGAAACTCCTCTGAATCCCTTCTAATTCATCAGCAGCCTTTGACAATACTTGGGCTCCAGACTGGCACCCAGTTCTAGTAACAACATCACAAACATTAAAAGCAAGTGTAATCTGCCACTTTGTCCTATCTAACACCAAAGGGTGCATAAGCCCAAGCACTGTTACATCTCTTAGTCACTGCCTCGGTGTGGCAAGTTATGTTCAACTGTATCTTCACTCCAACAGCAAAGGGGCTTTCACGACAGGTCTGGGAAGTACAACCACTAATTTTGTATGTTACCTGTAGTTTTGCTATATTAAAATGCCTGGTTTTAAACAAGCTTGGATTACCAAGCAAGCAAGCTAGATTGCTGCCAAAGCAAATGTCATCACTCCTGTCCACTCTATGAGCGTACAGATCCCTGTCGGACCTCGCAAAAAATGCTGTATTTGGACAAGTATTCCCTACATACATTTTATTCAAGACCGATCAGTTAGCCAATTTTTAACTTACATGATAATTGCTTTAATGACATAATACTTTATTTCCTCACTGAGCACGCTCTGCAGTGTGAAGCATTAATATGCCTTAGATTTTCCATCACACAAGAACAGCACAAGTTGGTTGACTTTCATAAAATCATGTAAAATGCCCCTGCAAACATGCCAACATGTAAAATTCAGAAAATCTGAAAATCTCTGAAATTTCCTGTGTTCCTGAGGCTTGTCCGATATATCATTTGCTCAGAGACTTCATCAGCTAAAATTTTCAAAGTTTCTGGTAAACAAATTCAATAATTCTGGTGTCCCTTCCCCATCTTCTCCCCAAAGTCTGATTCGTGTTTCCTTACATCGCCACTGCTTGCTGTATTAGATTATTATTTCATGTCAACTCATCAAAAGAAGATGATTTTAGTCAACAGAATCAGTAGTGTGAAACTCAGCACAGGTGCTCTTTGAGAAGTTGAAAGCCTTGAAAGTAAAACAGCCCCTTCAAGTTGGCACCTTCCAGAAAAGCTCCAAAGATTTTGTATTTCACACGCCCTTATCAAATCTCTTTCCAGTCTCTCCCTTTCTCTCATATACACATAGCTTATTGCTCAGATCAAGTGTATGTGATTTCCCAGATATTCCCTTTGACACTGAAGTACTTTACCCACACAAGGCTCCGTGCAAAGCTTAAGGGATACAATACACGTCCTCACCAAGCACTGCTAAGCCTCAGTGAGAAAACTGGAAAAAGGAATGATCTATACAAAGCAATCATTGGCTACCTTTCAACAGAGATGACAGTGTGATAATTATGTAAGAAGTTCCACATGAAGATTAGTTTCTATGCTTGGAAAGTCAGCCTTGCCAAAGATGCACAGATTCAGCAAAGCATCTGACTTCCTGAGCAGGAGGAAACTGATAGACATTTGCCTATCTGATATTAACAGTGAAGCAAGCAGCCACTGCTACCCTCAAAACCTCGTCTGACAAAGAAAAACATGACCACAGAAGATCAATGCAGCTTCTGAAGAAAACCATCTTCATATTAATACTCATTGTACAGCATTCAGATCAAAGCAAAAGTTTTCTTCGATTACACTTCTAGCATTCAAATCAAGTTCCCTAACATAAGAATGAAATGGGTGTTTTTTCCAGTATTGCAGGAAGCATCTTCCACACTGAAAAAAATTCTTTCTCTAGAATTCATGGAAAATAATATCTCTAAAAAGTAACCTCCTACTCTTTCATAAACTACAGGTTAGTGTATGCTCTTAGACAAGTAGAACGCACATGCTCTGCTAACTAGTTGGTCCTACATTACTCATTTGCTTTTCCTCCAGGGCCAGGGTTTCTTATTTCAGAGGCTGCCAGATGGTTTGACAAATTCTTTCTAGTATTTAAATTGTCTTGTAAATATTGTGAGAAAAAGCAAGAATCAGGATTTACCAAACAAAATTATCACTGAGAACCAAACAAATACATGATGTGCACTAACTGATCTTCGTATAAAAATAATACATTGCTTGGAAATTTCCAAAGTACATGGTGTTGAAACAACATATGCTTAGTAGGAGCTCATCATAGAGCTTTACCTCTCCAAAACCAGGCCTTGCCTGTTGCAAATATAAAATGAAGCACTAAGTGCCAGTTTCCCAATAAAACAGAGAGGCTAAATTCAGTCTTTGGGTAAAATGACATAACTCTCATGGATTTCATTAGGACTTGTGCCTTCTTATATCAAGAGCAGTTTCAGTCTGACCTATTTTAAGGTCTCCAAAAAGATACTTCTAAATTCGTAGAAAAAGAAGAGTAGGAAAACAGGTAAGAAGCACAGAGACCTAATACTTCAAAGCAGGATGTATTTCTTACATGGAGAAAAAAAATGTAGACAGACTATTTAGTAAACTCAAACCATGCATATATATTACATGTTTTGCATAGGATGTCTCCTTAAGAAGCAGTTCACATGATGGCAGAAGAAATGACTGGAAATTTTTCCAGCCAAAGTATAAACCTGGCTTGGGTGTACAGTTTCTGGTTAACTGGAAAAAATATGTTATTAGACATGTGTTAAAGATGATTCAGAACACAGTTTAAATCAACCATATCAAATATAGAAAACATGTTAGCCTATTGAGCAAAAATCAACCATGACTATGTAACACAGTTTTAAGCATGGCTGTGCTTGTTCCCACTCCCAGCAAATAATTTCGGTCACTTCTGCAGTGAAAACCTTCTCACACATTTTTAATGCAATCCATTATCTATGGTTTTATAAACAATCCTGTGCTTCAGCTAGGAGAAATCACAGCTGAATCTACCGTACTTTCATAAAAACCAGCAAGAGTATCAGTGCAGCCACAGAGCCTGAAATGAGGAGAGACCACGTAAGTCAGTGAACTGGGATCTGGGACTATTAAATAAATTCATATCAGGGTATAGAGACAATAAAGGAGACTGGCTCCTTCTTAAAAGAATACGCTAATAAGGGAAATGCAACAAAGTGACCGTGGTGGCCAGACCTTATGAGAATGAGAACTAGGTCAAGGTGGAAACTCCTACTATGTATTCTGTGGTGCTGGTGAACCTTGATTTCTCTGAAGTTTTACCACTTAATTCAGCAATCAGTATTCACCACTTAATTCAACAATCAGTATTCAGCTCTTATAAAATGGCATACAGTTGGAGACATAGCTGAGCATGGGTCAGTTCAGGCTAAGCCAAGATTTCTACCACAGCATTGCTCTAAAAACATTCTGTCCATATGATCTATATTTTTTTCTCTTGTTATTTTGTTCTAGGCCTTCCAATCGGTAAGGCTGCCAGTTTTCTTTTAAGCTGAAATTTCTGATAATGTTGCTAAGAGTTTAATTTGTGCTTTGCATCACATGAAACAGATTAAGTAAAAAACTCTCCTGTTTCTTTGCACTTTAGCATGTAAACAAAATGACAGTGCAGGGGAAAAAAAAAAAAAAGACATCAGATCAGTAAATCACATGTAGCAAAATAATCTAAATACAATTATTCTATGGAGGCTGAGAAATGAAATACAGCTAATGTGAAAGATCCTGCAAACAGAAGACAGCAAATCAAACTAGAGTTGCTAGTGTGATAGAGCTATAAAAAAAATGGCACTAATTTTCTAGAACTATGCACGTGCTTAACTTAAAGTATATGAGTGTAGTAAAGAAATTAGGATCTAAGTCACCTATGGAAAACCTATTAAATAGGTATTGCCAGATAAACAGAAACAGTATGAATAACCATCAAACAACAAAATACAAAGTAAGAAATAACAATAAATATCTCATTCACAAGGAAATCTAAAAAATATAAGAAAAAAACCCATATAAAATTTGAATCGTGAAAACAGAAATTTAACAAATATATAAAGAACAAGAGATCAGTGAAGGAAGATGGCTAGTTCATGATGAAGGAGTTCAGATCATATACAGCTGTGAACTAGATTTTTTTTTCTTAGTATTCAGGGAAAGTGAGAGCAATGTGCTAGAAATAGAGTTGTTTCCTGAAGGGAGAAACTGAAGATTTAAGACAAACTAAGGGTGACGTCTGGGCTGGTAGAAGAGAAATTAGAATAAAAATAGAAATGGCTTCAGGGCCAGGCAGCCTGAGTTTCAGGATTTTGGAAGGCACAGCATATGGGAGGGAAGGGAAAAAGAAGATTAAGAAAGATGTGGAAGGCCTCCTGGCCAACAAATGTCAGTGATGGATAACTCAAAAGCGAGAAAGCAACTGTAAATAAAATCCAAACTTAGCTCCCAGAAGCAACACAAAGAAAATGAGAGTAAGAAAAGAGCAAGCAGTATCATGCCATGCAGTATATACGCAACTGCTTTCAGTAGATATATCAGCTGTCCTTGGTGTTGGACTTCGACTATCCTCAGGGACAACCTCAACTTACAGAGAGGTATGGTGAGTAATTGGAATAGCTGAACAAGCCTTCTTCCAAAGCCATAGATCTTAAATGTCAAATCTGAAAGATTTCTGTAATTTTTAAAGTGTAAGTCACACAAGATGGTTGAATTTAATCAGATTAGCTTTTTTTCCTTTCTGCAAAGAAATGTTGTATTGTACCTCCAGCAGAGGTATTTTGGGTCTTTGTTGCCACAAG